TTCAAGGGATTATTTCGTATGAATCCGAGATACACTGTGGGACAAGAGATGAAAAATGCAGTTTAAAAAGTTCTGGCAAGGAGTCCATCACCTTTTGAATAACACTGTGCATCCGTCCTCCTTCCAGACCTTGTCTTGCCTGATGGCCTACACTGATAGTCAGGGGATCTCAAAAGCAAATTCTATTTTCTGCTGACTACTAGAATAAGAAACAGCCGCACTTTTGTGATTATTTCAAGGCGCTCAAAACATCCGAGTTTCTGTCCCAGCCCTGGGTGCTCTGGGCTCCCCGCTGTCAATCTTTTAGGGCCGTGGGTGACACAAGTGGCTGTGTGGACGTCACTGAACGTGCTTGGCAGCATTCCTGCTGCTGCTAGTACTGCAGAGCTGAAACAGAAGTCAAGTGGATCTTTTGTTGGTAACACTCAGATGCGACTTTCAGTTGGTGCACAGCCCTGACACAGTTAAGCAGCGCAGACTCCTGCCTGGTTTGCACACTCACAGAAATCCCCTGTTAAGTGAACTTCTGCAGCAGAAGCACTGCTGATGTTGCGAGATAACCCCTGAGTCCCATGAGCGGCAGGGCTCGATCTGGGCTTGGGAGATGTAATATTCTGATAAAAAACGGCACTTCCTTTTCGAGCAGATAAGTGCGTGTGCTAAGCAGCACCACTGGAACCTCAGTGCGCGCCTCGGCGAGGGTTTGTCATCCTCTCCTGCCTCTCTCCAGCCTTTTAACCGCCCCCTTTCACACACCTAAACGCAGCAGCAATTAGCATCCATAAACCACAAATGTGGCTTCTATTTCTTTTTATTTCACAACCATGAAAGCTAGGTAACATTCGTAACACCCAAAAAGTTATCTGCCTTCAACAGAGGAGGGAATTAAGACATAATTAAACACTTGTGCTTGCCTGGGACTCCCATAGGGAAGAACGTGGCTTTTTAAATTTAATTTTTAAATTAAGGATGCTTCAACTTTGGCCACCAAAGGTAAGAGAGTTGGGGGCACGTAAAGAAACAAGGGAAATTAAGTGCTTCCTCCCCAGTCTGTCTCATTGCTTGTCTCTTTTCAGACCAGATACAGGAAGCACCATGGGAACAGCGTATTTTTATGGTTGCAGGCAAGCGTACACCGTGTGCACCACAGCATGCAGCTTCCATTCCCTTGAGGCAAAAAAAAAAAAGGGCTTTTCTGTCTTGTTTTTTTTTTTTTCCCCTCGTTCTCCATCAAGCTTTTAATTAACATATCACTATAGCCTTCTGCCTAATTGTTTGCCCTAGACTTAACAATCATCCTAGCTGAAGCCCTTTTAAAAGGGGTGTATGCTAGGACAGGTTGAACTTCACGGAGTGGCATCTCACCTTTGTCAGTTATGACACAGGCAGAACAAGCAACGCCTCAGCCGGGGTGTTGGCACGTCCTCGAAATACAAATAGGGAACTGTTTGCTGAAGAAGTGGATTTTCTTATACCAGACGAGCACCCATGATGACGTTTCAGCTCTATGCACTTAGTGCCTTCACAAAATTTCTGTAGCCTTTTGAAAGATCACCGTACCACCTCCTGCAGACCTAGCACAAAGGACTCCACCAAATTAGCTGCACAACTTCTCGATTTGACGAGGCTCCAACTCCTCTTCAAATCCCCAGAGTGAGTCCCCACAACGTATTTAGAGCGTCAGCCATTCGTAATGCAAAATTCACAAATGTATGGTCCAAGAAACTACTTACTGTGAATGGTTGACGAAACGTGGAAAAAAGAGACATAATTGTACCCAAGAAAAACATGGTCCAGACACAGTAAGGCAGTGGAAAGCAGGCTATCAAACGCCTGATCTCTCCCTATGAGTCAGTGGCCCCATGTTCTTACCATGGCCTTCAGCAGATGGAACAAACCCTGTGGGCATGGATCATGCAGGGTTCAGGATTAAAAGGAGAGCTTTCTGTGATGCAGGCTGTCACCAGCAACGAATGGTGAAGCTACTGAAGTGGAATTGCTCGCTCACAAAAGGGGTGGATCACGAATACCACGATTAACATTTCTGACAAACGCACAAACGCTTTTTGCGTTACTTCTCTTTAAATTTGATATGCAACGAGGGTGTTAGTGATCACACCCAGAAAAGTGCCAAATAAAGCTTTTTCATTATTATTTTAAACAGACAGACTTTTCAGGTGGAGGCAGGACATAATCCGTTTCCCAAGAGCCATCACCGACACTGACGATCTTTTTATTCTGTGATTCTGGAGAACACTATATATTCATTTTTACCAGGGCTAGTGATCCCCGAACGATAACACTCCCACCAGGGCAGCGCTGTCAGAACGTGGTTTCACTTATCTAGAAGTAAGACAGAGAGTTACGGGCCCGCAAGGGCTGCTCAGTGACTAACGGTAGCTGCTACTGTTGACCTGCAATTTATACAGTAGGCATGACAGGCAAGTCGATTATTTCTGCATTTTAGTATCCAACACCAACTGAACTGGAAGAAAGTTGTCAGGGGGAAATTGAAATGCGCCTAATGATATCTGCACAGCCTAGAGTACTAGCACAGCATGCTTAAATATTTAAGATTTGTTGTGCTTCCGGTATCAGAATGACTGTAGAGAGCTGCATGTGAAGCAAAGAAGTAAACACCATATATATTTTATTTTTGTGCCGTTCTACACCGAGATAACGCAGGTATCTTTTTTTGTGCATTTAAAAGAGCTTAGTCCTAGCAATCATGTCTTTATCCCTACAGCGAGAATCAAAGAATGGCACTGAGTAGGTTCATACTCACTCTATAATGAATGAACACTGTAATGGTAAGGGAGTCTATCGCAGTGAAATGATGTTTTATTGATATTTATAGCATTATCTTTGAGATGTAAATTTTCTGAATATGCATTCCAGAACAAATTGTACAAAGACTTTAAGGGATCAGCAGCAGTATGAAAAATGAGTGGTATATAAAAGCCGTATATAAACATTCTCTCACAAGTGTTTAAGTTGCATCTGCCTCAGATGTCTGGAGAAGAGCCTGAGAAATGGAGCTGAGGCTGCAGGGCACAGGACAGGCAAGGAAAGGGAAAGAGCCTCGATGCCAGGCCCCTGCACGTGCAAGCGGTGGAGACAGGGCTCCCGGAACGGGCGGGTGGGGAGAAGAGAGAATTCCTCTTGGCTGGTCAGGAGTGAGGGGCTTGTGAAAGAAACCCTGGCCTGGCTTCCTGCCTGCACAGCTCGGGGACTGGGAGGAGCGAAGGGCAGGGAGCCCGCGGAGCCCGGGCACAAGGGGCTGCTGCGTGTGGGGTGGGCAGACAGCCGGACTACGGCTGCGAGTAGTGTATGTGCTGTGGGACCCAAGAGAGAGATCGGAGGCCTTGGACGTAGAAAAGGCTCGAGCCTTCCGTGTTCTGGGGATAAAACCATTCAACTGCTCTTTTTAGGGGAAGCAGAGCAGAACTCACCTGCCCAAGGCAGACTCTACACCGCAGACGTCTATACTAAGCTACTCTCACTGGCTATAAATGGAGTCGTGCTCAGAAGCTGCTGCTCTGGGGACACAAGGCATTTCATCCTAAGTCAGACACCCAAATTTGATCAGAAAACCTGCGTGCTCTCTCGCCATTACTGCCAAGAAAGGCCAGACACCCGCAGAGTTCCGGACACCAGTGCTGCAGAGACCCACGGAAGATGCATTTCACCCTCCTCACGGACTCTGTTACTAGTGCAGGGCTCCCTTCGGTGTTTTATGTTGACTGGTACTTTGTTAATCAATAGAAAAAGCTTAATCTTTAATAATGCAGAAATTTAACCTCTGAACATTTCCATTTCAATCCAAAATAAAGTAATCCCATTTATGCCACAGGGAACAACCAAGGCTACTTGGGCAACCAAAGCAGAGACAATTCTTTAGTGATTTACTTGATTCATGCGATACGTAAAAGCTACCTCAAAACTCCTAACCAAAGCCACAGACATAATTTGTCTTGACACTCCTGCACTGCCATGGACATGCTGTACTTGAAAGGCAACACGAAACTGATAACACAATACATGCCTTTTCCCCAGTGCCTGTACACCACATCCTCTACCAGGCAGCATTTTTCACTGTTTGTGGTTGAGAACTGGCATAAATGAACACGCTCAGCTCGCCAGCAGGAATGTCTATTAACGCCGTGATTTCAGTTTATGAGCTTCTACATCAAGGCAGAGTCTCTTGCTCTGCATCTTATGTCATCTACACATGCACGGATCCTGAGCTCTGCGGGCCCGTGGGATTGCAGAGTCCAGGAGCGGCTCCTTTTATCTATTAAGTGAAGAGGGCCGAGTAGTTTTTAAAGAAACACAAAAATACACATTTATGTAGGACTCTTAACCACCACAGTAGTACATATTGGTTATTTTAGTCATACCTGTGTCTTCTTTCCGAGTTGTATAGGAAGGGTTTACTGTTCAAATTAAACAATAAACAAAGTAAACTGAGCAACCTGCAGTTCACCCACAGTTTAGAGGATTACTGCTACAGTTTTAAATTCTACAGGGCTGAGTTGTCCTATGAATTTGAGGCACCTTGTCTTTTCTTTCAAAAAAAAATAAATTACCAAGTTATTTTTCAGATACCAGAGTAGCTTAACAACATCAGTAAAAAGTGCAGTCCTGACAGGCGTCTGTCATATGCAAACTACTTTTAAGAATTTGCATGCTACAACACACATTAAAAGAGCTCACCATATGCACATGCTTCTTTATCCTGCTAGCCTTATTTCACAGATCTGTAAAAGTGACCTTTATAAAAATGCACGTGAGGTTCTCTGATGGAAAACAGTTGCTCCTCCTCTAGAGCATGTTTAAACGCTCTAAACTGTAGCGGCATCGTTACTCCTTTTACAGACATGCAGGCAAACCAGAGCCATGATCCAGAAAAAGCTTTCTAATCACTGCCATAGCATAATCAGATTAATAAAAAAAAAACAATATAACTATTATTTTCCAGAATTCAATCTCCACTTTACCTCCTGCTTCTTCATTAGACTGATTGTGTTCCTTCATATCTTCCGCATTATCCATACTTTCCATTTCCTGGGATTTGTTCAGATTACAGTCTGTCAAAACCTCCTGTCCTTCTGAAAAAAAAACAAAACAAAACAAAACACAAGAATTAACGTTATGCTCCAGGAATATTTCCAGGTGATTACCTCAAAGTATCTGCACGCTCCCAGTTATCGCTCACAACGTCCGTCCTTCCCGTAGATGCGTGACGTGCAGTTTGGTGGAATGGATTTGCTTCCCAAAGTGACCTTCAAACTCAGAGCACACACCGCTAACCAAGGCTTAAGTTTTTGCTCAGATTTAACTATTCTGGAGGTTGTTCTGAACGCCAACGGAACAGGAATAAATTCCAGTATACGTAACTCCATGGATCACGTGTATTCTGACAACTGGTGCTAGCAGGTATGGAAAAGGCATCACAGCTCTAGTACGTTCTTTTGGGCAAAATATTCATCATTCTGGCCCCAGGCCAGAGAAGTGCTCGAGCACGTTTAATCGGAAGCCTCTTTGAACCCAGTTGCACTCTGCTTTTTTTCACCCAAGTCTTTAAGCATCGTTGTCAGGTTTTCTGCTGATCACTAGGGCAGCAGCATGTCCCAGAAACCCAAGCCCCTCTTCTCTGAACTAAAGCCAGATTTTTAGCTATGGTGAAATTTATTTGGGTGAGGTTTTTCAAATAAAGCCTCTTTTCATAAAGTCCATAATACAGGCTAACTCAATACCATGCATATGTCTGGAAATTGCAGATCAGTATTTTGTTTAAAAAACTGTTTTCTATCAACAATCCTGTGAATTTTGAAAAGTTCACAGCAACACTGTGAAATTGCTGTTAAAATTGTTTAACTTATTAACAGTTGCATAGTAAAAAATCCAGTCCTCAAGCTAAATATTACATTGGATCTGAAAAAAAAAATATTATTTTTTGATTAACAGGAAAGTAAAACACTTGTCCAACTCACACAAGAGGTTAGTTTTCTATTTTCAGAAATGCAGTCAACCAAAAGAATCACATTATTCTTGCTGCCCTAACCAAAACTTCCAGCTTTCTTCTGAGAACATTTCCTACTACAGTCTTTTTTTTTTTTTCCCTTTAGTATAATTTTCCAATGATATATCGAACTTCCACAGTTTTATTTCAATTTGCTTTTTGCCTTTAATGCCCATCTTTGTGACTGTGCTATTCCACGTCCTGGCAATCTAAACAAGCTGCAATTCACATCTTTTTTCTCCATTTAAATTTAAAATTTTCAAGAGAGGGTGAAAGGACCCGCACAGCACAGTACCTGTAGCCATGGGCTGTTCCTGAGAATTACTTAGGTCCATACCTGCCTGTGAATCTGCAAAAGACAGGAAAGCAGTCTGAGTTGCTTAATATTTCGAACCATTCATGACACAGTTATTACAATCTTATAAATTCCCATTTTCTTGACCGAAAGCAAAATTGAAAAAGCAAAATTTTCAAGGAAATACATACCAAATAATTGTTGTGTTTCACTGTGCAACTTCTTTATATCCCAAGTGCTGGCACGTGCCCACGAAAGGGATTAAGTATTATTTTCTAACTCAAAAAAAATTACAGAACAGAGTGACTTACACTTTCGATTTAACATCTCATTTTGCACCCTGTGAGCACAGCATAGTGGCAGTAACTCTGCATCAAGTGTTTTTTCCTAAAGCACAAAGTACAAGGTATTTTTACATGCCTTTTCCAACACAAAGGGCAAACACTATTCTCTTCACAAGCTCTACTTGGCTTTCATGGGAATGCAAGTCTAATTCCCATTTAGAAATTCTGATACGGATCAAATGTCAGGAATTTTTTAAAAAATTTAGAGGACTACAAACGTGGCCGTGGTCTCCAAAGTGCTGAGCTCTCTGTGACAATATAAGCTGCAGGGATTTACATCTCCCAGGCCGGGGCTGGCGAGTTTAGCTGGAGGCACAGCCCCGACCTGTCCCAGGGAGGCTTTGCTCGGTGCCTTGCTGCCTTCAGATTTCACTGATATGAGGGCTGGTTTCCTTAAGTGTCACAGCTACCTGCTTCCTTCCTCCTTTCTTTCCTCTAAACTTTTTTCCTCTTTTTTTTTTTTTCCCCCCCACATACCAGAAAATCTTTTATCAACTTTGCACATTAAAAAAAAAAAAATAGCTCCAAGGCTGGTAAAATTCATTCCTGGCAGTTACATAACAGAAATAGAGATGCCGTGGCCATGAGGTGTTAACCACGAGTGACATTTACCCCATAATTATCTCTCTTACCACCACTGCACATGGAACATTTCTGTGGTCTCCGCAACGCCAAAGTACAAAGCTCTGTTAGCTCTACAAGCGAGGAAGGCTCCTATCAGATGAGGCTATCCAAAAAAACTGCATGAACAGAGGATGGGGCTGATGCACGCAGCAGAAATAAAGGCAAACTCAGAGGAGAAACAAAGCAACAATAGAACTATCCAGCAAAGGTGGTTTTTTTAAATGTTGGGTTCGATTGTTTCCTAAACGAGAGCATTCAGCTCCCATTTCTCAGTGATGGGTCTCAGAGTTCCATTATGCATGTAGCTCCCATCACTCTTAACTGGCAATTACCAAAGAGCAGCAAGAAAAAAAAAAAACAAAAAACCCACACCACTATTAATGATTCAAGCCATCCAGCCCTGGTCTGAGCTCTTCAGGGTGTAACTCCTGACTGCAGACAAGTTGTTAAGCTATTAGCACTTATGAAATGTATCCTAAAATTAAATCTGAGCTCCTAACCTTTCATGCAAATCTAGCCCGAATGCAAGCTTTTTTTTTTTTTTTTTAAAGTATCTTTTATTAGAGCTAAAATGTTGTCTTGTGGCATAGTCACAGAACTAAACGACAAAAAGTTCAAAGATTCACTAAAAAATGTTAAAATGAATAAACAAGATCAAGGAACTCCATAGTTACAGCTCTTCATTTGTCTTTGTTTCATTTTATCGTGCTGGGAAAAGTGAGGTGTGAAGAAGCAAACGGACCGATTTATTATACTGCGAATAATGACGGGGAAACATCAGTAAATACACGGTACATGAACAAAATTCTCTCCAGTATTGATTTGAATTTTACATTGCAATAATACAGATACTGAAATTACACAAACCCTTGTAATTGTGCAAATAATTAGGCTTTGGGCAAGCCAATGATATCCCCATTACTCTGTAATACTTGAATCCAATTTTAATTGCATTCAGAAATGCTGTGTAGTCGCCCCATGTAGGTGATGAAGCTCTGAACTGGTCAAAGCCCCAGGATTAAGGAAAAAGGGTGCCTGCTGGGTGGGGGGAGCGCTGTGGCTGGGAAACTGCAGCAATTCTGCCTTCCCCTGGGTTGCCAGGAGGTCTTGAAATGAGGAATTAAGAGCCTCTACACGACGGCTTCAAGTCAGATAATTCTGCATGTATTCCTGTAGAACTGAAGTGGTGTAGAAACCACCGGGTTCCCCAGGCCATCACTCCCCTCAGGGTGCACACGCTGCTCTGGCTGAGGGGGCAAACGGCATCAGCACCAGCTTCTGCCTACAGGGCGCCAGGCAGCCCCCCCAAGAGCCAGGCCCTGTCCGGAGCACCCCTGAACCGCGGCACCAGGGTTCGGTGCCCGAGCGGCCCTGCCTGAGCCACGCCACGGCCCCACCTGCCCCTCTGCTTAACGTTGAGATGGTCTCTGCCTATTTATTGACGTTTTGTTGAGCCTAACAGGTTCCTGTCTGTGATGGGCTGCTGGGCAGTACAACCCTCCTGAAGAGATAAGAACAACGCCACACCACATAACGTTTCTTTTCTGTTGAGAAATATCCAACTTTCAAGCCTCCAACATCCGCTCATCAGTACCTGGTTTATGATATTAGTCTCAAGCAGCTTCTTAGAGCCTTAGCGGTCTCTTAATATTTAACCCTCAGGTCTCTTTCCCAAGCAAAGTGTTTTAAGCCAGATCTTTCGCTGTCTCGCGTAAGTGTGCGAGAGGGAGAAGGTCTAGAAAGCTTCCATCCCCAATTTGTACAAATAAGACCTTATTTCTACCTCACGTTCAGAAAAGCACAATGTGGGAAATCACTTACAGAACACGTTAAGTCTTCCCAAGCTTCCAAGGGATCCACTGACTAGGGCGCATGGGAGGGAGACGCTTGGCTGGTGTGTGTTGCAGCTGACGCACGATGTTCATTTACAAAGGAGAAGTAAAATTCATGTGCTTTTGAAACCAATCCTTGGCCATCCCGCGTTCTACGCCAATAGCCAAAGTGAACAAAAATATTCAAATCGCTTGCTAAAAAAAGTGCTACGGCATTTTAACTACATGAATACTTTATCCTGGTATTTTTGACCCGTTAGTAGAAGCAACAAAACAGCCTACCTGTATTTTAACCCCTCCTAAAATGGATGTTTTTCAAATACATGCTAACACTAACACCCTTCTACCATCCATACAGCTGTAGCCAGCAGAACGGGAGGAACGTCTTGAATAATTGTTATCATCTCACCTGTTTGCCTCCAAAGTGAAAACCAGAACGTTGCCTTTTTACTGCCAGCTGCAGTTTTCAACCCAACAGCACTGTGAAGGGGACATCTTTTGAAATCCCATATGCTCTTAGTCCTCCTTCTCGCACAGCATATGGAGGAGACCCAGCTTGTTGCCTTGTCTTTGTGCTGTCTTAAGAAACACCAGCAGGCCAAAATAAACCACACAGCAACCTTGGTCCCTACCCTGTGGGCTGACCCCCACAGCCTTATCCCTAAACACCTGCAGCAGGGGCAGTGCCTGTGCTATGCACAGCAGCCAACCTCTCTCACCCCAGCACATCTTTCACCCTCAACCCGCCACACTGTACTATTAAAGAGGGAAAGCCTATCTCATTTCCCCACTGAACGGCCACTTGCAGCATTTACAGTCTCAGTGGCTTTCTGAAGAAGGTACCTGGACCACTGTCCTGGTTCAGCTAAGATAGAATCAAGTTTTCCCCAGCAAGGCTTAAAACTTGCACAACCACACAAGCTCTTTGCAGGGTCTCTAATATTTTGCTGTTCTTAAGTGCCACGTAATGTCTGAAATGACCCAGGCATTTGAAGTGCACATGTCACGTTGGGGTAGAAATCCTGATCAGCAGCGTGTAACTAAGGATAACATTTTTTCTCATATTGTAGCACAAAACCTTCTAAAAGCAGCAGAATATCTTCCAGTCGTTCAGCACGTTCATCCCAGTACAGCAAATGGAAATGACAGCACGAGGTCAGTTCTCGTGAACTTTGCACAAAACAAACCAATTGTGGAGAGACACAACCCAGTAAAGACTGTGGATTTTGGCTTCCTAGAACCCAGCTCTCAAGCACCTACTCGTGCCAGTGCCCGTCCTCCGGGCAGTGACCGTAGTGAGCCTCCTCACACTTTGCACAGAAAATCCAGGACAGAAGTGTCACCCCTTTGTCCCCAGTGGCAAACTTCCCATTGACTCCAGTGGAACCACGATTTTTCCAAGACCCACGGAAACGGAGACCCTGGCAGTTACCGTATCCAGAGCTAACGCGGTATAACACCTCCACATCGACTCCATATCCCCCCCCCCCAGAACTAAAACCTGAAGGATTATTTGCATGTTAACTTTAAGCGTACAAGAAATAGGAACACAAACAAGAAGCTTCTTAAATAATCTCTCTTGTAATGGCAGAAACTTGCACATTCTCTAAGCAGAGACTATACCGACCTACCTAAAGAACTTTCTTCTCCCACAAAAGACACTCGGGGGACCCGACCCGATCAATGAACTGAGGCTGCATTTTAAACTGCCGAACCACCGCCAGACCCATTCTTTCAAACCTTTAGTTTGTCTCACGAGCAGTGATAGTCTCGATTCAGTCAGATTCTACGAGAGTAATTATTTAAACACAAAACATTTTAAAAGCCTTTAGCGAAGGAGAACATGCGTTTAAAACAGACAACTGCATCTAACTTAAGCAAAAACCTCAAGGCACTGAGGCGCAGCAGAATCTAAGCTCAAGCCCTTAAAACGACGAGTTGAGATAAGAAAAGCCAGCTCTGAAATAACCAACCAAGCGATGCTCTGCAATGCTTCGCTGCCAGGCTCCTTAAGAGCACCGGTAATTTCGCTTTTTCTCCAAAAGCGGGTGAGGCTGCAGCCCAAGTTTAACTCGCCCCTGGGTTTTTGCTGGCTCTGAAAGTTACACGCAGGTTTTACAAGCGAAGAGAAACCAGCACGCCCTTTAATTCGTTAAAACCCAGAGGACGAGCAGAAGGTGAAGCGGGCTCTAAACCCCAGGCGCATCGTTCGCGTGGAGGTGCTGCCGAAAGGCAACAGCGAGGGGGAAAAAAGCCCCGTTCGTTTCCTGTTGAGTTGCAACACGCGAGGAGAGCTCTCCCCGGAGCCCGCATCTCTTGGCCTCAGGAGAAGCTGAAGGAGCCGCTTGGAAGTCAAACGGGAGGCGGAGCACGGTGCGGGGTCTGCGGGGAGGGCCGGGCACCGGCAGCGCCTTCTCCCCCCCCTCCCTCCCTCCCTCCCCGGCCCGGGGACAGAGCGGGGCCGTTTCTCACCTTCCATGCTCCGGCGGCGGCTCCCGGCTCCACCTGCC